AGGTTGGCAAGGGAATCAGGCTCAAGGACTACAGCAAAGGTCAAGTCGCTCGCGGCAGCCAGCTTCTCCGCGTAGGGCTTGATGTAGGTCTCTTTGTACAGCTTCAGGCCGTTCTCCTCGCTGCTGAACTCACCGGCGCTCTCTCCCGCACTGCAGTCTCTGTCGGGCAGGTTGTAGAGCACCAAACCGACGATTTGCTTCTCGCCAGTCTTCTCCTGAGCTGTGCGGGCACGCTCAATGGCGGTATCGATGTTGGGCAAGCTCGCCGTGTTCGAGATCCACACAAAGGTTCCGATGTTCTGGATCGTGCGGACCTTGCCGGCGTTCTCGATGTCGTCCTTCGCTATGAACGCGTCGTAGGTTTGCTCAAGCTTCTCGGCCCAGTCCGGGTTGGCGTAGAGCTTCTTACCCTCAAAGGGGTTGGTCGAGTCGTTGGACGATCGTGCGCGGCGAAAGTGGTGGCCCCTGGCGCCATAGCGTGGAGACGCCGACACGGCGCCGAGGGTGGAAAGAATAGCGAGAATCGAAGCGAAATGCATTTTGAAAATTCGGGCAAGTCTATCGCGGGGGAAAAGGCTGTTGCAACTACTCGACCGGCGGGCTTGATTGCATATCGCAAGAAAGAAGCATCGTCGATATTGGCGTGGCCGTCGCAACTCTTCTTATAGCCCCGTGGGTTGCCATCATCATGGTCAACAATGGCGTTTCTTCAACCACGGAGCTTACATCGCCATCTGAGGAACGGAAGGAAAGGTGCCTCGTCACATTGCGACGGCTATGCGTGGCCAAGGGGTTGGAAAAAAGACAGAGTCCTCCGTCCGAAACGCCCCTTTGGGGTAGGATCGGCGCATCGCGCAGGGCAAAGGGCCAGAGTTGGGGAAACGTGGGAGGGCGAGCTGTGTCTGATAGATTGCCCTACCGAAAGATCTTTGGTTCCGGCTGCCGCCCTAGGGATGGTGTCCGGCATCTGGTTCGCTAACCGTGCAAATTGCCGAGCAGGCCAAGATCCCCGATTGGAAGAGCGGCTTCTCTTCCGAAAACTACAACATGAGACCACGTGCCGGACCGTTTGCTTCTTAATACGTGGCCTCACGGGTAATTTCGAATAAATTGTCGATTCACGACCATGACACTCGGCGTAGAGGCGACGACGGGATAGAAAGTCTGGCTGTGGGAACTTGCCATTGGCATAACGGCAACATGCAGTTTTTTTGGCGGTTCGGTTGGATAATTGCGCAGGATTTCAAGCATCATCCGTAAACTTGTTTCTTAACCATGGCGATGACTTTATCCTCCCAGCGAAAGCTTCGTTGATTATTCCTATTGCGTCTGACTATTTCCCAAATTCGCCGAAGCATCGGCAATCTTGCTTGTATTAGGGTAGGCGTTACCCAAATATGAGTGAGTCTAAGGAGGATCGTCGTCGGTCAGTAGGCCAGCGCATAGCGTCTGGTTACACCAACAACCTGTCACAATTATGCAGTTCATGATTTATTATTCGACACGCATATGATTCCGTTATATGTGTCTGCATCACTTGCTGCTTAACGCCTTCAGTTACTCTCTCGGGCCGCCACCAATCACTCGAGTTTCCGTCAATATCACGTTTTCTCCCCAATCTGAATTTTTAGGTGTTAAATTGGGGAAGCGTTTCTTGGCAATGTCAATACATGTGCTTGGCTTACCCCACACATCGGGGGTTTTTGATTGATAGTCCCTGTGGATGGGACATCTAGTGTAAGCGCCTCACTTGCCAGACCTTTGCAGCAACGTGAATTCCGAATACGGGTTGAAAACGCCAAGCATGAATCTCCAGTGAGATGGCGATCATCGCTGACATGGGTTGGATATCGTCGCGGTGGATGGCGGCGTAATGCTCTTGACCGATCAGTGCTCGCGAAAGCGGGTACATTCACCTGAACAGTCAAACCAGGAATCGTAGCAATCCAGTCCACCTTTGAGCGCGGAGGCTTCGAGCAAGTTCGCCGAATTCGGTGGGAGACACGACGTATGGTGCGATTCAGCTTACTTGCTTCGACGTTTATTCTATCACGATCGCATGAAGCCTCACTGTCACATATCCCATATGTCTGGGGAACGGGTGTGCCCGCACAAGGGAAGGGTTCTAGACCCCCAACCACGCGTTGGCGTTGCAACGAACTTCCCGTGGCAATGGTGCTCCCTGTCCACTCCGTCCACTGCTGAACTGACCCCAGCAGATTATACATTGCATATGCCCCATAGTCTACTGCGTACGGCAAGAATATATTCCATGCCATGCCATGCCGAATACTCAACTTAACATGACCCACCACATGTGCCCTCATCTTCCTCTTGCGGAAGACGAGATGGGCACAACAGGGTGCTGATACACCTAAAACACTGCCGCCCATCGCGGTGACTGCACCGAAGCCAACGGCAAGTCAGGATGAACCTTTTTGCGGGGATAGGCAATTAGCTACCAATGGCCGACAAGGTGTTGGGAAATGTGTAAATCGCTGGCTGCATGGCAGATAACGTCCTCCTATACTGGGCGTGTGATTGGATGCGAAACGGCTGTCGTCCCATCCCGCCGGCACGCGTAGATTCTTTTTGTGAGACGCCAAAAGAAAGCCTGCACGATAATTGGTCTAGCGCCGAGTGAGCTGGTCTGCCGCACATGGTAAGCACTTCGTGTGTGGAGGGGTCGAGCGGTACATGTCAGTAAGCTTTTCTCCGATTATGTCGGTAATTATCATCCCAACGATTCGTTCCTCGACAAGATTACGCAAGCGAGACTCTAAAATTGCATCGCAGATCCTTGTGTACGACGGGTGGGACTCGATACGACAGTGAGGGTTCAGATGGTGTCGCTCAAAACTCCGATCCTTCCGATGGGCTAGAATATCAGGTGCTGGTGTTTTGTGTTCCCCGAGTCTGCTTTTCTTCCCATCTGCATCACCAAACCGCAGCCGCAAAAAAACCGTTGACAGCATGTTGTGGCAGGTCTGGCTCCCCGTCGCTCTCGCGACTGCGATACTCGTCGTGCAGCGACTGCGCAAGAAGTATGTACCGAGCTATGATCTACCGGTGGTCGGGTCTCCAACCGATCAGAGCATGGGACAGGCGGTTATCGATGGACATCAACAGGTAACGAGGCAGACGTTGATCATCGTGGGAAATGGACCACTGACCGAGAGTTGCGCCCAAGTATCCCGAATCTGCATTCGTCATCCCCTGCGACCCTCCGCGGGTGATTCTCCCCATGAAGCTTTACCAAGAGGTGATCCACGCCCCGGACTCGGAACTCTCCTTCGCCGCGGAACTGTACGACATCTTCCTCGGCAAATACACCCACCTCGGAGAGGCCCGTACTGAAGTCATCGAGACAGTCAGGGTCGATTTGACGAGGAATCTATCGGGCATTCTGCTACCCATTCAGGAGGAGGTCAAATTCGCCATGAAGCAGATGTTCGGCGCGCTGGACGATTGGAAACCGTTCAACGCTTACCACGTGGCACTTCGAATGGTGGCACTGATGAGCGGCCGTGTCTTCGTTGGACTCCCGCTGAGCCGCGATGAGGAATGGATACAGGCTTCCATCACATTCGCGACAGACGTAGGAAAATGCAGGATGGCTGCGCTCGAATGGAATCCATGGATCCGACCTTGGGTGGTACCCTTTCTTCCAGAGGTGCGACACATGCGCCGCGCGCTTCAAAAGGCCAATGACTGGATGAGGCCACTTGTGAATGAGGTCCTCCGGAACGAGAGCGCCCTTGGGGAGAAACCAGCGAAGCCCGGCGCTCCCGGCGCGTTTGTTTCCTGGATGATGAAGTATCTGCCCACTCAGGACAAGACTTCGGAGAACATGGAACGAATCAGATGCTGTTGTCCTTTGCTGCGATTCACACCACATCTACCACAACCACCTTTGTAAGCATCCCATGCGGAAGGGCCGAACAATGCAGCCTTGCTCACTCATACAGGCTCTGTACGATCTTCTAAGTCGCCCCGAGTACATCGACCCTCTCCGGGAAGAGATCGAGCAGGTAATGGCCCAAGATGGCGCAGAGAGAGGCGAAAACGGGGAGCTCTTCCTTTCCAAGACCTCGCTTAGCAAACTGAAGAAGTTGGACAGCTTCATCAAAGAAAGCCAGCGGACGAGTCCGATGAACTTTGGTATGAGGCTCTGTCGAACGACTTGCACAGACCCGCGGCGCTAATCATCCCACAGGCGGCACAGCACGAAGACTTCGAAAGGACCAGACCTTTTCTAACGGCCTGAAACTGCCGGCTGGCACTGCCATCTCGTTCCCTCTATGGGGCGTCTAGTAAGCCGCCGATTTGAAGCCATGAGATGGGGCATACTTCTCTAAGCCTCGGTTATACTAATGCAACTCCAGTAACTCTTCCTCGACAAAGACCTTTAGCCCCGAGTACAACACGGGCACTGGCAACGCACCGCCCACCGAATTCGATGGTTTCCGCTTCGCCCGCCTTCGAGAGCAGCCCGGCAGTGAGATGAAGCACCAGGCGGCGGCGACCGGAGCCGACGCCTTTAACTTTGGACATGGGCCGCACGCATGCCCTGGCCGCTTCTTTGCGGTCTATGTCATCAAGTGCATTTTCGTCGAGTTTCTTCTCAACTACGACATCCGGCTCAAAGGCAGCGATGGCAAGCCTTCGGTGTTGAGACCACCCAACATGGTCAAGCAGATGATCGTCATGCCGGACTTTAGTCGTCAAGTGGAGGTCAGAAAGCGGGCGGAGCCTCGAGAGGAGTAGTTGGGACCGATGACCAGCTTGCGTTGGATCGGCTCACCGCTTAACCACCGGCTTGTACGAATATCCGCGACTGTGCGTACAATTTAGACGCGACGCAACATTCTTAGTTCTACTGACTCGTAAATCGAAAGACATTAAGACGTGTGCATGGCAGCAAAAGTATCTGGCGTAGGGACTCGCAAACCTGCCACGCATGGAAGAGGCAAAAAGTGAAGTCAATCGCTGACGGGAATTGAGCCCGACGTGGCTAGTGAATGTTAGATATGCTGTGGCGATGTGCTTCGGAAAGTGTTTATGCTTACGGGTCGAACCCACAACCTTGAGATTAAGAGTCTCACGCTCTACCGATTGAGCTAGCCGGGCAGATGCGAGCAACTGCTGGTTGATGGGCTGGAGGCTGCTCGGGTGGGATCATGTAGACAGGGCCACGATGCCCTTGCGAGGTTGACTCGACGTCACAGAATTTTCGACTTTAGCTAAAGCTGAAGTGGATCAGGGGAGCAAGGCCGAACCATGTTTCACATAAAGCCTTTTGGCCGGTGGACCATCGGCTGCGTGATGGACGAATCCCCATCATAGAAAGGTACCTAAATAGTTTGGATGAACAACTGATGGGTTAGTTTCCCGTGAAACTTCGGGCAAACGACAGGGCAAAGGTTGGAAAGACTCGAGATGGACTCGAGTCGCTGGTGCCCAGCTTGAAGATGTGCAATTTGTCCGCAAATCACAAGGATGGCTGCATTTTCCCCCTCACGTGGCAGAGATGACAGCCGGCCAAGACAAGTACCGACACGGAGCCTCCCGTGCGTGGTTTCCCCCTTGAGCCGGCGTGTTGCCCCTTTGCCGCACGCGGAGCGTCACACTCCGTCTTCATATTCATTACAGCCAAGCCCCCTCCGTCATCCCCGTACAACACCGTCGAAGGGTAAACATGCTCAACTTGGGGCAACTGGGCTGGATGTGGAGACGCAGAATTAACCTCCGTCACCCCTGGAATCTCACAGATCGTCTTCCCCTCATGACCTTCGCACGCCATTGGCGAAACTGATTCACATTGAGGAGGGAGCACTTGAGGGTGAAGATCGAAAGCAGGGGGCATGTGATATTTTCTAAACAAGCATAGAAATATATATCCCCTTGGCCTAATCCGTCCTTTGGGTCCTGGAGAAGATGCGTCCTTCAGCCGACCTCTCCCACTTCCCTCTCTTCTTCCTTGACACATACCCCGCTGGTCTTTCGTGAACTATGGCGAAATCCACGGCGCTTTCGCTCTATGCCGTCTTTGCGTTCGCCGCTGGCGTGTTTTCGCAGAGCTGCATCGGCAGCACTGGACCCAAAGTCTACGAGGCGGAGAATGGTGCCCTTTCGGGAACAACGATCGCCACGGCTCAGGCTGGCTTCACGGGTACGTTGAGATTTCATTCACCATTCCGTATTGTTCTAACGTTTCTTCTGCAACAGGCACTGGCTACGTGACCGGCTTCGAAGACGCTGCCGACAAGCTCACCATCAACGTGGACTGCCAAGGCGAAGGCCAAAAGCTTTTTGACATCAGCATCAGATATGCTGCTATCTACGGAGAAAAGCGAACAAATGTTATCCTCAACGGCGGCGCCGCCAGCGAGGTACTACTGGCTGCCGGCGATACCTGGGCCACCGCCAATGCCGGCCAGGTGTTGCTCGACGAGGGCAGCAACACGATCGACATTGTAACCAACTGGGGATGGTTCGTCCCAAGACATTCGGTCATCGTACGCAACCCATGATTAACGCCGTGCAGGTACCTCATTGACTCCATCACCCTCACGGCCACCGAGCCGCGCGGGCCCCACAACATCAACACGGCTCTCGTCAACCCGAGTGCCAACGCCGACGCCAAAGCCCTCTACGCATACCTCCGCTCCATCTATGGCAAGAACATTCTGTCGGGCCAGCAGGAACTCTCCTACTCCAACTGGATCAACGAGCAGGTCGGCAAGCTGCCCGCTCTCGTCAGCGTCGACCTGATGGATTACTCCCCTAGCCGTGTCGAGCGCGGCACGGTCGGCACCGCCGTCGAGGAGGCCATCACGCACCATGAGCGCGGCGGCATCGTCTCGGTGCTCTGGCACTGGAACGCGCCTACGGGTCTCTACGATACCGAGGAGAACAAGTGGTGGAGCGGCTTCTACACGCGCGCCACCGACTTCGACGTCTCAGCCGCTCTTGCGGACACCACCAACGCCAACTACACCCTCATCATCCGCGATATCGACGCCATCGCTGTCCAGCTGAAGAGGCTCCAAGACGCTGGTGTTCCCGTTCTCTGGCGTCCGCTGCACGAGGCAGAGGGAGCTTGGTTCTGGTGGGGAGCGCAAGGAGCTGAGCCGTGCAAGAAGCTTTGGGCTTTGCTGTACGACCGTCTTACTAACCACCACGGGCTGAACAACCTCATTTGGATCTGGAACTCAGTCGCTGCGGACTGGTACCCCGGCGATGCCACCGTTGACATTCTCAGCGCCGATGTGTATGCCCAGGGCCACGGAGTACGTCTTAACCCTCACTCACCACTAACAACGGGACTGACATCTGTCTAGCCCATGACGACGCAGTACAACGACCTCATCACCCTCGGCCAGGACAAGAAGCTTATTGCCGCAACGGAGGTCGGAAGCGCTCCCTTTCCTGATCTCCTTCAGGCGTACGAGGCCCACTGGCTGTATTTCTGCGTCTGGGGCGACACGTTCATCAACAACGCCGACTGGAACAGCATTCAGGACCTGAAGAAGGTATGTGTTCCGCAAGCTCTCGGGTTGTATCTGTAGGGAGATGAAGACTAATCATTGCCAGATCTACGAGAGCGAGTATGTCCTCACTCTCGACGAAATCCAGGGATGGAGAGGTTGAGGGAGGACACGGGTGGATTGGTTATCCTCAAACATTTTGAGATTCAACTGTAAATATTCTTCGACGTCACATGTATAGATTCCATCGAACCCCACTTGCGAATCCGTGAAAATACCGTCGAGGTAAATTCTCCAACGGGTTCTTGCCTCGTGCTTGAACAGGTTAGTTCCGAGGTCAAGTCAGATTATCGCACCATGTTTGACTCGAACCTTTGCTTACAATACAGTCTGTACAAAAGGTTGATCCTCGAGTGCCTCAACTCATCGCAAATCTAGCACGCAGCCTCACATGCACACAGCATGTTCACATAACTGCCATTTACCGGAGTCTTATCCACATTTTTTTATGGAACTGCACTTTTGACCAGCGACTTCGAGTCTCAAGCCATGTCAGAAATTCAAGCTTCTAGAAACAGAGTAGGAACCCGACTGTGGCATCCAGAATACCTACAGGGGTGCCGAGTTGATTTAGGATGATGCCATGTTCCGAGTTTTCGCTGCTCCCATGCGATGGGAACTCGCCGGTGATTTTGAATTTTGTCGGCAATGAATGGGACCGTTGACTATAGATCTTACCAGGTTCGAGCAAGATTTGTAAAAACCCAAAATAGGCTTGAGACAACCCGGACTCAGGAGGTGGAGCATCTCATTATACGAGGAGTGGGTTGGATGAGAACCTATTCAGGGGAGTTTTCCGACTCGAGGGCTTTATCTCGGTATGATGTACGAGTTGTTCGAGAAAATATGGAAATAGCGTGCATGTGCAGTTAGATTATTTTGCTCCTTCGGCCAAGTGGAAATGCAAAGCCAACTAGTCTATGATTATCAGCAGCAGACTAGGAAAGCAAGATTGATACGACGCTGGCCATGGTGGGAATATGCTTACAGACAATTCTGGTTCACGATCTTTCGTCAGACGACCAGGATAGTCCTGAAAATAGCTAGTTGGAGCAAAATCCCTCTTGAAGCCTTTTCGTACGTGCTGAAGATCCCAGCTTTCACGGGTCCGTTGAACTTACGATAGCGCCCACCTGCATCATCTTGAATTTAGCAACTCGTTTTTCTTCCTCAGAACAAGCAGAACAAACCCCAAAACTCGCTGGCCAACATTTTCTTTTTGTAGAAGCAAAGAAAGGGAGATCAGTCACACCCGCCGAGCGCCAAGAGGATAGAGTAGCAGGTACGTATCAGCATTTCACAAAATCCCCAGGGAGTCCTTCGCTCTGGAAGCTTTTGTCCACTCTTGAGTATTTTGGGCCTATAAATCGCACCCGCATATGAGGCAGCGTGTTACAGACAAGAGGCGACGGTATGGTAAACAGGGCTTGTCTTGTCGTGGTGCTCTACACATTTGACTCGGCGTTAATTTGAAGACGTAGAGTTGCGCAACCAGATGAGTTGGACGGTGAGATGCAGCTCGGCCATACACCGAAGACTACAAGCTGGTGCAGAGAGCAGGCCATCAGCATCTCAAGCTACGGCGCCACTCTCGCAAGCTTTGGCGGAAGAGCTGCATTGTATCGCGGTTCCGATTTTTCAAGAGCTACCATAATGGCAGTCAAGGCCATGGAGTCATGCACAGAGACATCGAGATATCAAGGTGAAAACCCAATAAGCTTGCTTCAGACGATGCAGAGTGACGACTAACACCAAGACCACATGCAGAGGGGCAACCGGCCGATCGACAGAGAAAATGCCAATCGCGGGTAACACGGCCTTGTGAGCTCTACATACCCATACCTATGCCGATAGATTGGCTCTTTCTTGCAGGGCCTTCATCCCCCGAGACAACACGTCTGGTCTGAAGAAACAAATAACTCGATGGCAGTCGCTCTGGAGTCAACTGTTCAGCTAACCACACATTGCTACACTATTGAACTGCACACCAGCCCCTGTCTCCCGTATCCACATGCGTGCAGGCATCCGCATCCTCCTCAGATGGACGCCAAAGTATTTGCCCTCGTTGCCCCTCGACGCTATCCCGCGCCAGCCGTAGAAAAAACAAGCACCCCCTATTTCAGCTCACCACTGCCCGTCCGCCTCCCACACCCGATCCCGTCCCACTCACACCTTCACCGCCAAGCCTCCGTTTTCCCAGGAACTTACTTCGCAATGCCACGCCGCGACCAGGCCGACGTCCACTCCGGCGACGGCCGCAGCCCGAGCCACGAGCACGACTGCTACGAGCTGGCCCCGCCCTTCCGCGGCCGCCGCTGGGCCGACGACGAGCTCGCCTCGCGCGTCGCATCCTCCCTCGCCGACGCCTGCGCCGCCGGCGAGACCACCGACCTCGCCACCCTGCATCGCCTCGCCGTCGAGGCCGACGAGGTCCTCCGCCAGATCAGATCCGACTGGGGCCTACTGGACGGCGTGCCCCGCCCCTCGGGCCCGTGCAAGGCCGCCGTCCCGGACCTCGAGAACCAGCACGCCCGCCTCCGCGACCTCATCGCCCAGCGCTCGCGGCCGCACCTGAGACCG